ATAAACTTAAATCTATCTTTATATATTAAAATGTTTTATCATTTGAACACTTAATTTAATATTTCTACTTTAGATCTACCAAACAAATGTAGACATGGATACAAATCTTTGGATGTATCAATAGATAGAGTCTAATAATAAAAATTGAAATTGATACAAATGATTGATTTGTGGATTACTTTGTCCATTTCACATACTTGTTTTGGATATCCACTTCAACTATTATTATATCATTAGTTGTAAATGGAAATGCTATTTATTTATTATTTTTATCTTATTAATCATGATTAAAACAATAACCTTAATAATATATATTATATGTTCTATTATGAACTATTAATATAATAACACATACCCTCCTCCAATATCATAACATTATCCATAATTCTTACTCTACACAATATCCCTAAAACCAATTCCAATCATAATATTAGTTATTTCAATAATTTTAAAGGCAAATAAGATGAGACCATTCTTAGGAATCATTTAATCACACATACAACATTACCTCTCATAAGAACTAGTTTCAATAACTTTTGCATTTTAAGTTACTGAACAATTAGTATGCTTATGAGTTGTTGAAAATGTTAATGATTATGAGAATTACTAAACCTACTTTAAATATAACTTTTACTTTTACCAAACTTAATTCTAATTATTTAACAATTTCTTCATTCTTCTGATTAGATTTTTAACTGATTTCTAATTCTGTTTGTTTCTCCTTAAGTTATACATCACATTAAGTTTCTATTAGATATTTAATAGAATTTAATAATTACTTTATTCCTCAATTAATTTCAATTTACTATTTAATTCTTTATTTTAATCTTTTAAATCTTAAATTAATAAGATTTATTCAGCATCATGTTTCTTTAACTCAGTTATCACTTCCAAATTATCTTAATTTCTTTTTTCACTTTCTGCTACTTGATTTTTCAAGACTTCATTTAATTTTATTAGATCTTTCAATTCTTTTTCAATCTTATCAAACTGAATTACCTTATTCATCAAAGCTGTATCTTTTTCAAAATTTGATACAACTAGTTTAAACTGAGTAAAATAAATAAAGCTTTACTTGTTATAGTTATTCATTTTATAACTTATCATTCAATTCATTTATTGTTGATAAAATTATTTCATATTGCTAAAATCCTTCTTTTATTATATCTTAGTATAAATTAAATTATTGCATTTTTTAATTCAGATTATCAAATAAATGCTGATTAGTTAACAAATTGTCCTCTTTTACTATGTCAGATTTTAAGTCCTAGCTTTCATTTTTTCTGACATTTTGCTCTTTAAAGATTTTTGTGAGTTTTTCATTCACCATTATACCATTTTATAACAATTTGGTCAGATTATTTGTTATATTTTATTGTTATTCAAAGTCATCTTTTTCAATCTTTATTTGCTTCTCTGCCAAATCCTTAAATTTATCTTCCTAGCTTAATATTTCAATTAATTCATTTATTTATTAATTATTCATACCGAAAATTACATCTTCTTTAAATTCATTTGCTTCATATGGAGAACATATTTTTAATTACATATTCACTTTTTTTATAATTTCAGAAACTGATGAGTTATATACCTCTTTAATCTCTTCTAAAATCTCAATAACATAATTTAATTATTATTTTCTTTTATTCTAGAATCTTTAAATTTTATCATCTGTTTAGCCTCTGTATTCATTCCATCTTAAGCTTGCATCGCTTAAAGTTGTGTATTTAATTGGATCATTTTATTAAATACATTCAACACAAGCCAGCCTTGAAAATTTTGTTTCGTTTGGATTCAAATTAAGCATGATGATTTCCTTTCCATGCTTATTACATTGAATCTTTAAGCTAGGTGTTTTCTATTTAGTTTAAAAAAATAAATACCAATTAATCTTCTTCCTTTTAGGTTTATAATTCAAGCTTCTTCACTTCTAGATGTTCTTATTCCACTTTGGTTTTCACCAAAGTTTCTTAGATTTTATCAAATTGAGGACATTTAAAAATTGATTACAATTATTCCTATATAGAATTGATATATGTATTTTCATCAATATCTCTATCTAGTTCTTTTGGTACCTCAAAGCTGAAAGAGCCTTTATAATTTTTTGATAAGATTTTAACATCTTCCTCAAAAGTAGAAGCTTATATCTTGGACTCTTATTCTTCAAATTCCTTTTCCATCGAAGCTATCTTTTGTTCTATATTGATCTAGACTTTCTCAATTGTATTATTGATCGACACTTTCAATTCCTTAACATACAATTAAATTTCTCTAAAATTCTCCATTCTCCTCTAATTCTCTTTTATTTTGTTGC